CCCCAAAACCCCAAAACCCCAAAACCCCAAAACCCCAAAACCCCAAAACCCCTATATTGAGTAAAAAATTGAGAGTCTGCATCAATATTAATTATAATGAAGAGAACTCAAAAACCTAGTAAATCTTTTAAAATGCTAGTCTCAAATATTTGGGATGATAGCGATTTGACTGTCAATGAAGAAACGTCTGATTCCATGCCCAGCCAAACTCCTAATAAGACCAGGCAGTTTAACAATACTCTTAAAAGCAATAAAGGAAAAGTTAAGCCTGGGGACCTACCCAATTATACGTCAGGAAGAAAAGGACCTCACCAATTTCTTTCTGCTTTGAATATACCCATGCAATCATTAAATGAAGAATTGAAGCTCGAAGGTGAGAACCAAGGCGATAAGAAGTATCTGAAACCTTTGGTGGAAGAGAAGAAGCCAAGAAAGTTGTCTTCAAATGCAAGAGATGGTGCAGAGATTTTATCTAGCCTTCGGAAAATCCCTTCGAACGAACTTCTGAAAAGGATGAGCTAAGCCCTCCAGTCATCCTATCCAAGCTTTATTCATAGGATTTATAACATTAATATTCATAATAATTTTAAGCATATGCAAGTTTTGCTTGGGTTTGGGCAAGATGGAGAACTTGGAGCGCCATATTTCCATGCTCTGAAGAAATAATTTACTCAAATTCACCATTTTAAATTTTTAATGTGACAGTTACAAAATGTGCTTTCCTCTATTTCGTGACCTTCTGATGCCATAGTTAGTCTATCCAGCCTAGAGGGTGTTGTTGTATCTTAGAGGAACCAATTTTCGCGCTATATCGTAGGGCTACGATGTATCAACAATTTTCAGAATTTTTCAAAGCCTCGAAACGAAATTTCTCAGTTGTAATAAAAACTTCCCAAGATAAGCACATAAGCAAATTGATGTGCTATAAAAATGAGAACATCGCTGCTAAATGATTCGTTTTACCTTTATCTGCACTATTAAAGAGATTTAAAAGCTCTAGAGTAGAGCTTACTCTTGCTTAGTCTCATCACTTTTAGTGAGAGATAAAAAATTGAATTTTTCTTTGTGCTCCTGTCATGTTCCATGTAATGTTAATATAGACTCCATTTCGTTCTGAAAAATGGAATAAGAAGGTTAGTTGGTTCTTTCCGATAATTTAAACTGGACATATAGAATTATTTTTCCAAAAAAAGATTTCCATTTTGATCAGTTTCGAAAAGTATTAAATTTTGGACAGCTTATGAAAGTTACGACTGTTTATAGAAAGAAGCTAACGCTTGGATTAATTTCAAGAGAGTAAAGAATTAAAATATAAGCAATATAAGCTCAAAATAAATGCTGAAAGACAAGGAGGGTAGGATATAAGCATAAAACGGCCAGTGAAGTACACGATTTGGAAGTTTCTTGCTATGTGTTAGACCACAATAACCCCAATCATTAACTTAAAGCCTAACCCCTGTCCAATATCCCAACATCCCAACCCATTCCCTACCCCAAGCCCTCTCAACCTCTCCTTTTCCCAAACTCATCCCCTACCCACCCCAATTTTCTCCCCGCGACCCAAAAGTCCCAAAATCTCAGTATTTAACAAAACTCTAGTTAAAATTGTCCAATTTTCCTAAACCCTAAACCATATTAGGACTGCGAAGGGAGGCAATAGGAGTAGAATAAAAGCAGGGGTCGAAAACTGAACTGGGGTTCCAGAGTAAAACTTGATGAAGGAATAGAAGGAGGACTAGTAATAGTGGAGATGAAGGGAAATGAAATTTGATAATGTAATAAAAAAATTTCGAGAGAGTTCTGCCTTCCTTCGAATAATTCACTGATACGAAAAATTCATAAGAATAAATAACCCTTTCATTGTCCTAATTCAATATTGACTCCTCATCGAGGGGTTTTGGGGTTTTGGGGTTTTGGGGG